TGTGTGTGTGTGTGTGTGTGTGTGTGTGTGTGTATACATGTGCCCGAGTGTGCCCAGGCTGCTGATTCTGCTGCCTCCACCTCCCAAGTGCTGGGTTTGCTTTCCATACCCAGCTCTTATTTTTATTTAAGAGAGGCTCTCCCTGTGTAGCCCTGGCTGTCCTAGAACTTGCTTTGTAGACCAGGCTGGCCTCAAACTCAGAGATCTGCCTGCTTCTACCTCCTGAGTGCTGAGATTAAAGCCATACACCACCATTCTTGGATATTTGGGTTTTTTTAAATTATTTTATCATTTTATTTTGTAAGTCGGTGTCTCCATATGAAGTCCATATAGGACTTGAACTTACTGTGTAGCCTAGGCTGGTCTCAAACTTGCATTAATTCTCCTGCCTCATCTTCTGAGCTCTGGGATTATAAATCTGAGCCATTGTGTTTAGCTTTGCTTGTAGTTTAATTGCTCTTGTTTTTCTGATTTGCTTTTATCTTTTGTTATTTGATTATGTATATGTGTGGATGTGCACTTGAGTGCAGTGCCCTTGAAGGCCAGAAGAGGGCATCAGAGTTACAGGCAATTAGGAGCCTCCCATTGTGGGTGCAGGGAACCCAACTCTGGTCCTCTGCAAGAGTAGTATACACTCTTAAGCACTGAGCTATCTCTCCAGCTTCCTAATGTGTTTTTGCCTTAAAGACAGTGTCTTACTTTGTAGCCCAGGCTAGCATTAAACTCCTGATTCCCTGAGGAAAAAAAAGCTCAGGTCTATTTCTCTGAGACCTAATGCATCCCTAAGGGAGCAGCCAGGCTGTGCCACAGTGATGCGCCCCATACATTTCCCTGCCGTATTATCCATTGTCTGAGCCATAAAGACCACAGCCAAGCTGCTGTCATGACTTATTCAGTAGTCCACCCCACTCATTATTCATGACCCCTTTCAGTGGCTTTTCATACTGGCTCACAACAGCTCAGCCCCAGGGTCCTGCTACTATACTAAGGAGACTCCTGCTATGACATTTAGGATCACAGGACCCATCCTGGAGCATTGTTTTGCAGAGCAAGTTAGTCAAAGAAGCATATTTCTGGGCCTGGCCTGGCCAGGGACAAAAGCCTTGGACTTGGGGACTACTAGGTCAAAACTTACAAGCAAGTGAGTAGGTATGTCTGCTGATTTACAAAATCATCTTCCCTGGAAATGGTTCTGAGTAAGTATGGAGCCTTGATGGCTTTCAGGAGGAAGGGAAAGCCAGATACATCAGGGCAGGAAGCAGGCAGGCAGGCTTTACCCCTTTGTTGGCAAAGGACAAAGACGAGATCATGGTAGGATCTTAAGCACGCCCATGAGTTTTTCTTTCTTCTTAAATTTATTTTTAATTTTATGTGCATTGGTGTTTTGCTTGCATGAATGTATGAGGGTTTTGGATCCCCTGGAACTGGAGTTACAGAAAGTTGTGAGCTGCCATATGGGTGCTGGGAGTTGAACCCAGGTCCTCTGCAGCAGGGAGATCTGCCCACCTTCTTACCTCGGGGCCTTTGCCTGCTCTTCCCCTGCCTTGGATCCTGGCCTCACCCCTTTACTTGGCTAGCTCTGCCCTCAGCCTTCGCTCTCTGACATTTTTCCCTACCGACCTTCCCTACCAACCAGCCCAGCCTCTCTACCTCCTGACCCCACTCCTGCCCCTCCAAGTACTGAGCCTGGTCCATTCCAGGAGCTTCACCAGGGCATAGGGTCGTCTCAGAGCATGGCCGGGGCACAATGGAATGAATGAAGCCTGGGCTCCTTGAGTCTCTGCATAGATTGTGTGTGGCTGGTAGAAAACATAGGCTGGTTCCAATGTAGCCCTGATTCTAAAAATCACACACACACACACACATACACACACACACACACACACACACACACACACACACACACACAGCCCCCAAACACAGCTCTTGCCTCCAAGGGAAGTGAAAGACAGTTCTAGAGTCAAATATGAGTGACCATGATCTGGTTACACCAGATACTAAGGAACAATGTGTAGTTTCCCAAAGTTCTTAGAGCTGCACAGCAGAAAACTGCCAATCAAGGCTTTTCTCAGAGACAGTGGTGGAGCCATGAGTGACAGCAAGTCTGTAAACCCCGAACTCCAGAGGCAGAGGTGGGAGACTCAGTAGTTCAAGGCCATCCTTAGCTATATAGCAAGTTTGAGGCCAGCCTGGGCTACATGAGACCCTGTCTCAAGGAACCCAAAACAAAATAAGCGAACACCTACCTCCCACTGCCAAATACTAGTGAGAATAACAGGCTTCAATGTTATCTGATGACACCCTTCTTGTGTCTTATTTTTGTTTATTTTGAGACAGGATCTCACCATGTAGCCCTGGCTATCCTGGAACTCACTATGTTGACCAGGCTAGTCTCAAACTCAGAGTCTCAACTCTGCTCAGTAGCAGAAAAGCACTTCTGCAGGTTTGGCTGGTTTGCTTTTCTGGGACCTTCAGTTCACAGTCTCATCTTCTCCCCTGTCAGCCTGCTGGGACACCCGGAAGGGCAGCCTGGTGGCAGAGCTGTCTACCATCGAGTTCAGCCACCGAGACCCAGTGTATGGCACCATCTGGTTGCAGTCAAAGACAGGCACTGAGTGCTTCTCAGCATCCACGGATGGGCAGGTACCACCCGGCTGGACCCTGGAGGGGAGGGAAGAGGGGAGGGGAGGGGAGGGAAGGGGAGGAGGGAGAGGAGAGGGGAGGGGAGGAGGGAGAGGAGGAAGGAAGGGAGAGAGGGAGAGGCAGACATTAAGAGGGGAGAGGAGGGAGGAGAGCAGGAGCTCCGGGGGAGCTCACAGGAGCGCGCACGGCCCTGGCCTGCTCTGGCGGGCTCACATGAGCGCGCACTTGCCCTTGATGCGGTCCGCCCTCTTCTGCTTGCTGGAGCGCTTGGGGGCAGTGGTGTATAGCATGCTGCCCTAGTGGCTACTGGGAATCAAACTCAGGACTTCAGGTTTGGTGACAAGCATCTCTACCTGCCCAGCCATCTCACTGCCCTAAATTCTCCCCCTTTTAACATGGAATAGTGGATGACCACAAAGATTCAAGGGCAGTCTCTGAAGTGCCGCCTCTAGCCACAACACCCCAGCCCCTCCCTGGGATGTTCGTTTTCTGTGTCTGCCCTGAGAAATGCTCTCTGTGCAGTCAAGCAAACACTCCTCTCTCTCCATTCTCCTCCATTTGCACACCCGACACCTGTCTGCACCTGCTGTGTCCCCTGAGCCTACTCAGCAGCCGCTTCAAATTTCATGAAGCCTGATTCTGTGCCTGTTGACTGCTTGGTGTAGGTGTATTATGATTTGTTTAAGAAGGTTTTACATTCTGTTAGCATCACACAAGGAATAGTGAGAAGTACATTTGTGCCCAGATCTTTGCATACTTACACAGGCAAATCTAGAGCATATATTGCTGGCAGTGGGAATGCTACCCTGCCTTGACTTTTTGTTTGTTTGTTTCTGTTTTGAAATTGGATCTCATGTAGTCCAGGTTGGCCTCGAACTGCTGAACTTACTGCCTCCACCTCCTGGATGCTGGGACTACAGGCACATATCACCATGCCTGGGTCCTTGTTTTCACCTTGCTTGATAGATTTTGCTAGAAAGGGGAGTCTTGTGCCCGAAACTAAATTGTGTACAGTTGGCTTTTGTGAGTCTTACAAATATGTTTGTTCTCGTTGGTCTCACAGCCTTTGAGGCCCTGGATGGTTTGGGGGAGGGGGCAAAAGCCAGGGTCCTCAAGTTCTCATTCATCTTCCCATGCCAGGTCATGTGGTGGGACATTCGCAAGATCAACGAGCCCACGGAGGTAGTCATCATGGACATCTCCCGAAAGGAGCAGCTGGAGAACGCCCTGGGCGCAATCTCCTTGGAGTTCGAGTCTACTTTGGTGGGTGTTTCTTGCTCTCCCTTCCTCATCTTCACTTGCCGGGCTATGGGCAGGCTGGGCTGGTGTAGGAGACAAGGGAAGAAGAAGCCCTTCCTTCCCGCTTTACTCCACGCGGAGGCTTTACCATGATGTTCCAGCAGGGGGCAGAAGAGCACTTCCACAAAGGCCTCATGCTCATGGGCAGCAGAGGTAAGCTTTAAAAGCAGATCGCTGGCCAGGACCAGTATGCACACTGCTTTGGCTTCATTTGAGGCCCCAGGCTGGTTACTTCCCTTCCTCAGGGGAAGAAAGAGGTGTTGAGAAAGGAAGGAAGAGCAGGGGAGCCTGGTGGGGAACCTGGTGGGAAATTGTGTCCATACACGATTAGGGCAATTCCCAAGTGACAGACAGGCCATGGCAAGGAAGCCCCGGAAGCCGGGAATGGTGGTACATGTCTGTAATCCCAGCACTTCTGAGCTGGAGGCAGAGAGATCAGGGGTTCGAGGTCATACATAGCAAATGTGAGGTCCTGTTTAAACAAACAAACAACAAAGCAGAAAACAAGAGGGCAGCAAAGAGGGTTCAGTGGGTAAATGCATCTAATGTACAGACCTGATGGCCTGAGTTCAATTCCTGGATCCCACTATGGAAGGAAACTGACTCCCGGAAGTGGTCCTCTGACCTCTGTGCATACACAGCATGCTATGGCACACACACACACACACACACACACACACACACACACACACACACACACACACACCATGATGATGATGATAAATAAAATTTTTAAAACTCTGGTGGTGGCGATGGCGGCGGCGGCGGCGGCAGTGCACGCCTTTAATCCCAGGACTGGGGAGGCAGAGACAGGTGGATGGATCTCTGTGAGTTCCAGGCCAGCCTGGTCTATAGAGAGAGTTCCAGGACAGTTAGGACTACACAGAGAAACCCTGTCTCTGGGAGGTAATAATAACAATTATTTTATTATTATTATTATTATTATTATTATTATTATTATTATTATTATTATTATTATTATTATTATTATTATTATTATTATTATTATTATTATTATTATTATTATTATTATTAATCAAAGTTGAAGCCAGAAGCAGAAGAATCATTGAAAATTCAAGACCAGCTAGAGAGTTCTAGGCCAGCCAGGAGTACATAGTAAGACTATGTCCCAAACATACAAAGCCCAAAACCAATAAAATTAAATCACAAAGTTTGAAGTTGAGTGGAGCAGCCATAGGAATGAACACTCTCTCACTAAATAAGGCAAGAAAATCACCTTGGGCTGGTCACTTCTCTACATCTTGCTGAGGTCCAAGCTTGTCCCCCTACCCACACTTTGGAGGTGTCACTTGTTTGCTCAGAGTCCTGTCGCACCATTCCCAGAACCTTGGGTGGCTCTGACTTCACCTCTGCCCCGGGGATCCTCAGCCACTGGCCAGAGTTCAGCTCTGGGTTGATAAACTGGGAGATAAACGAGTTGCCCTGCCTCCATGGCGTAGGAGGAGCCCCTGAACTCAGGGCCTATTTGGGAGGGTTCAGTAAGTCATTGTGCCCCAATGCTGGGATTTCCAAGCCACACACTAGAGGTAATGTCCCCACTTCTCTATGCTGGTCCCTGAGTGCACAGCCTTTGCCAGACATGGGCAGCCACCATGCTCCTGGAAGACCTTGATTTTATCCCTGCTTCCCCATAGACAAGAGGAGTCTTGGTGACAGTAAACTGAGTGCCCTGGTACATGGTAAAGCTGTGACTTGAGCCCCCAGCTCTGGTCCTATCTCCACCCCAATGTGATGTCTGAGGCAAGCAGGCTGGGTGGTTTGAACCTGGCCACTTACAGGTACCCTGTGACTGGCTTACTGGGTTGTTTCTCAGGACCCCCCAAATTTGGTCTTTTTATTTGATGCCCAACTTAGTAGCTCAGTATGTGCTCTCTGTCTCTTGTTATTGAATACTGAATCTGGGACCAACATTTTAACACTAAACCATCTTCCGGTCTATGCATGTTTCAAATAAACTCACCCCTCCCTCCCTCTCCCTCTCCCCCGCTCTGGTTTTTCAAGACAGGATTTCTCTGTGTAGTCCTGGCTGGCCTGGAACTAGCTCTTGTAGACCAGGCTGGTCTCGAACTCACAGAGATCTGCATGTCTCTGCCTCCCGAGGGCTGGGATTAAAGTCATGAGCCACCAATGCCCGGCTCATTCATGTATTTTAAAGGTTTACTTATTTTTGTGTGTGAGTTTCAGCCTGCCTTTTCTGCTTGCACATATAATCCTGGTACCTGAAAAGGTCAGAAGAGCGCACCCCTGCAGCTATAGAGTTGTGTTTGTGAGCCACCATGTCCATGCCGAGAGTCAAACCTGTGTCCTCTTACAAGAGCAACAAGTGCTCTTAACTGCTGAGCCATATCTCCAGTCTCTCTTAGTTTTTTTTTTTATTTTGGACAAGTCCCTTGTATCCCAGGCTAGACTTGAATTTATTGTTTTGCCAAAAAACAATCTTGAACTTAAAAAAAAAAAAAGATATTACTTTTTTTTTTTTTTTTTTTTTTTTTTTTTTTTTTTTTTTGCTTTTTCGAGACAGGGTTTTCTCTGTGTAGCTCTGTGTAGCCTATCCTGGCACTCGCTCTGGAGACTAGGCTGGCCTCGAACTCACAGAGATCCACCTGCCTCTGCCTCCCGAGTGCTGGGATTAAAGGCGTGGTTCACCAACACCCAGCCCAAAGATACTACATTTTAAGTCATTGGTTTTGGTGTGGAAGTCAGAAGACAACTTGGGGGAGTCAGTTCTCCCCTTTACTATTTGGGTCTCGGGGACTGAGCTCAGGTGGGGTTATGTCTTTCATCTGTCGAGCCATCTCCCAGACCCATGACCTTGAACTTCTGATGCCCCTGCCTCTACCACTTAGTGCTGGGTTACAGGGTGAGCCACCAGGTCTGTTCTGGTTTAACCGCTTGCAGAGCCAATTCAGCAGTACTCCTCCCAGTGTCACACACCCGTCCCCACCACTGGCTCAGGAATTTTCCCATCTTTCAAAGCTGACGCTCTTTATTAAGATGTCAGATTTTATTTACCATGGGGCAGAGCAGAAAGAGACTTGGTGGGCAGGAGTCCTGCCTCCTACGTTACTGATAAATACGATGGCACTTCCTCATAGCTGTGTGGTTCTACTGACTCACACTTTTAACATGGTCCTTCCTCAAAGGAATGTGGTTGTTTCTATAATTCCCAGTAAAGCTGGGCTTGATAGTTTGAGCCTTAGTCCCAGCACAGGTACACAGGCAGGCAGATCCCTGGGAGTTCAAGGATAGCCTGGTCTACACAATAAGGCTACATAGTGAGTCCCTATGTCAAAAGAAAGAAAGAGAGAGAGAGAGAGAGAGAGAGAGAGAGAGAGAGAGAAGAAAGGAAGGAAGGAAGGAAGGAAGGAAGGAAGGAAGGAAGGAAGGAAGGAAAAAGAAAACAGAAAAAGCCTACCAAGCCTCTTTGCCTAGCACTTTTGTTGTTGTTTTGTTTTTGTTTTTGTTTTTCGAGACAGGGTTTCTCTGTGTAGCTTTGGAGCCTATCCTGGCACTCGCTCTGGAGACCAGGCTGGCCTCGAACTATCTAAGTGTTTGGGGTTCTGATCCTGTCTCTGCCCCTGACCACAGAATTTCAGGAACGCACCACACACCTGCTGTGTAAGGTCTGAACCAGGGTTCCGTGTCTACTAGATAAGCTGCACTCCCAGCCCTTTTCTTATTTTTTTATTTTTAATTTTTAAAGTTCATTTTCACTTTGTGTGTGCATGTCCTCGCATGTGCACACCTGAACTGGTGGCCCTATGTGTAATGCTCCTGTGGAGGTCTCAGAGACAACTCAACCTGCAGGAGTTGCTTCTCTCTCTTTCCACCATGGGTCGGTCCTGGGCATCAAGCTCGGGTTGTCAGATTTGGCAGCAAGTGCCTTTGAGCAGTGTCTACAGTCCCTGATTGTTGGTTGTTGTTTTATGTTTTGTTTTGTTTTGAGACAGACCTTTGCCCCAGATGGTCACAAGTGAGTTTCCAAGCTTGGTGGGAGGAGTCACCCTGCACAGAGAGACAACTCCTGGAGTTCACTGACCTGGGGTGGGGGGGCAACTTGTACCAATGACCACCAGGTGCCTTTCTGCTGGCTGGAACCTGTTCTGAGTGCTGAGCCATTGTCACTATGGTGACAGAGACGGCTTCTGTATGATCAAAGCCACACTGTGTCCACCCTGGGCCTTGGTTATTCTACATATAAGCAAATATCCAAAATCCTTATGACAGAATGCTTACTGGGGCTGGAGAGGGGGTTCAGCAGCTAAAGCATCTGCTATCCTTTGACTCCAGTGCTGTGGAGAAACAGAGACAGGCAGGTGATTGGGGCTTGCTGGCTGCCGCCTATCTGAAACAAGAACTCCAAGTTCAGTGAGAGACCCTGCCTCAAAGGAGTAAGACAGAGCAATAGAGGGAGACACCCAAAGTCTCCTTTGGACTCTATATACTGATACACACAAAAGCACATTCACCACACACACACACACACACACACACACACACACACACACACACTGCATAGTGCTTGCAGTGATGCCTGTGTGTGTGTGTGGGGGGGGCACTCCTAATGCTCCTCTAGTGACCAGAAGAGCCAGAGTCTAGTTAGTCCAGCCTAGAGGTGATGTCTCATGAACCTTTGCCTTTTGTCGTCCCTCCACAGCCGACCAAGTTCATGGTGGGCACGGAGCAGGGCATCGTCATCTCCTGCAACCGCAAGGCCAAGACACCAGCCGAGAAGATCGTTTGTACCTTCTCAGGCCACCATGGCCCTATCTATGCCCTCCAGAGAAACCCCTTCTACCCGAAGAACTTCCTGACTGTTGGTGACTGGACAGCCCGCATCTGGTCTGAGGACAGTCGGGAGTCATCTATCATGTGGACCAAGTAAGGGGTTGGGGGGATACAGAGGAGCAGAGGGGACACAGGGCACCACTGCAGACTGGGAATGGTGCGCACACCTGCAATCCCAGCACTCTGGAGGCCAAGGCAGGAGGATCCCAAGTTTGAAGCAGCCTGAGCTACATAGAAAGACCTTGTCTAAAACAAAACAAACACCCCACAAGCAAAACAAAAATCAAAAAACCAACCAACAAACAAAAAACTCGCTAATGCCTGTATATATACCACATTCCCAATGAAATTTAAATTTCATTTAAAACGTTTTTTGTTGTTGTTTTAAAGAATGCTATAATGATGACCTTGAACTCCTGTGTTTCTGTCTCTACCTTCCATGTACTGGAGAGGTGTGTACCACCATGCCTGGTTAACGTTGCACTTTTTTTTTTTTTTTGTCCTTTTTTTTTTTTTTTTTTTTTTTGAGACAGGGCCTTACTGTGCAGACCAGATTGGCTTAGAACTCTCTGTGTAGATCAGGCTTGGTTCAAACTCACAGAGATCAGCCTACCTGCCTTGGTTGTTTTTGTTTTGTTTTGTTTTTGTTAACTTAATACAAGCTGGAGTTAACCTGAGAAGAGGCATCCTTAATTGAGAATACGCCTCCATTAGATTGCCTGTGTGCAAATCTGTAGGCCATTTTCTTGATTAATGATTGATGTGGGAGGGCCCAGTCCCCTGAAGGTAGTTGCTGCCCCTGGGCAGGTGGTCCTGGGTGTATAAGAAAGCCAGGGTGCACGAGCCATGAGGGGTAAGCCGGTGAACTTCGTTCTGTTCCTCTGTGGCCTCTGCTTCAGTTCCTGCTTCCAGGTTTCTTTCTGAGTTCTTGCCCTGACTTCTCTGGATGATGGACTGTTACCTAGAAGTGTAAGAGAAAATTAACCCTTTCCTCCCCCACGCTGCTTCTGATGGTGGTGTGGCACAAATGCACCCGCACACATATAAACACACACGTTAAAGTATGTCTTTAAAATTATTAAACACACTTATTTCCTGCTCACCAAACAAGCTTTTGAAAATCCAAAACAAGGGTCATGAGGAAATAGAGCCAAGCCCCATCTCAGAATTGTGAACTTCCTGGGCATGTCTTTCCTGGGACCCCAGGGTGGATCCCAGTTCCTGCAGATCTGAGGCTGCAAGGAATACCAATGGCCAGCCAGCCAATGGGGGAGAGCTACACCCCCAGATCCCTGTAAGGTTCAGCCTGAGGACCATGGAAGAGTGAGGCTGCCTTGGCAGAGGTCAGACCCAAGAAAGAACTTCCTACCCAGAAGGACTCAGAGAAACCTGGGTCCTGGGGGAACCTCAGTGACAGGCGCCAGTGAGCCTCAGCCCTCCCCCCCCACAGGCTCTGACTCACCCCATGGCTCCGACAGGTACCACATGGCTTACCTCTCTGATGGAGCCTGGAGCCCCGTGAGACCAGCAGTTTTCTTCACCACCAAGATGGACGGGACCCTGGACATCTGGGACTTGGTGTTCAAGCATAGTGACCCTGCCCTCAGCCTGAAGGTCACATGTGCTCCTTCCCTCTGGGGTCCTTTCTGGATGGGTCGGGGGTTGGGTGCATATAATATGTGTGTTTTGCTGCTGCTCTTGGTAGGTGCACTGGACAGGGTCTCTCTGGGCAATCTGATTTCTGCCCAGCTGCACTCTGGCCTTGGGAGCATGGGTTCCTGCAGAAGTAAGGGGCCAGGAGACTTGTAGCTGTGACGATGTAGCAGAATTGTCCCAGGGAATTTCAACAGAATGGAAGGGCTGGAGGTGCCAGCCAGTATCAAGGCCCTTGCTTAGCATTCATCAAGTCTGAGTTCGTGCCAGGTCCACAAGAAACAAGTTTATTCAATTGGTGGGAAACTGGCCTAGTGCTCACTAGGCCCTGGGTTCTGTTTCTAGCATGGCAGAAGCCAGGTGTGGTGGTGCAGCCAGAGGATCAGAGGCCATTCTTGTCGGCATAGTGAGTCCAAGACCAATCTGGACTACATGAGACCCAGACTCAAACAACAATAGAACAGGAGATAATTTAAGAGAAGCAGACATTTTGGCCCTTCCCCAATAGTGATCCCTATACTCAGATCCCCTGTACACAGATTCTCTGCAGCTCCCCATGGCTCAATTTTAGCACATTGTAGCCGGGGCCATTGGCTGGAGCCATGGGAGGCCAGGGAGCTCAGTAATCCATAGCATGAATGGCGCTACACCAACCATGAGGGTCTTGGCAGCAAATGAACTTCATCCACTGTGGAAGGGTGTATTACTGGGGGTGTTTGAACGGGGCCAGATAATAGGATATTTGTGACTTTGGTTTTCTTTCCCGCTCTACCTGTTTCTGCTGACCCCGTCAACAGGTGTGTGATGAGGCCCTCTTCTGCCTCCGGGTTCAGGACACTGGCTGTCTCATCGCCTGTGGCTCCCAGCTTGGAACGACCACTCTGCTGGAGGTCTCCAGCAGTCTCTCCACCCTGCAGAGGAATGAGAAGAACATAGCGTCTTCCGTGAGTGCCAAGCCAAGGCCCCACTCTGTACAGGTCCTGACCTGGCCAAGTCAGGAGAAATGGGTTGTCACTGTTGGCCAGGGCAGCATGGCTTCGCCCAACTGTTGATACACCCTTGCTGTGTTGTTAGCATTCAGTGGTCCTGGCCAGGTCACTCAGCATGCTGTAAATCAAAGTGGTTTGATAGAGTAAAACAATGGGACTTTTGGCAGCAGAGCCTCTCAGTTCCAGGCTTAGCATTCATCCACAGAGATGGAAGGGACCTGCCTGAAGATAGAGTCACTGAGATCCAACAATTCCCCTCTCCCCACCCTGGGGCTCATTCCCCAGTAGCATGGGGGACACTAGGATTGAAGTTCTTGGTGTTGAAGTCAGGATAGCCTCGTGGCTATGCCTGAGGCAGAGGCCTCACGTCTAAGCTGAGGCCTAAAATCACCAGCTTGCCTCACCCAAAGGGCATTCTTCCCTGTAGCCCATGTATCTGGAGCTCCTTGGAACTGAGTAACTCAGTGACCCGGCTCAACCTTGAGTTTCTGATTCACCTGCCTTTGCCTCCAGAGTCTCGGGGCTGCTGGTGTGTGCCACCATACCATTTATGCAGCTGGATCTCTGCTAGGCAGGCACTCCGACAGCTGACCTATGTCTCTAGCACTGTGAGCAAGTGTGTATTTGTTTGTTATGAGGCAGGGTTTTACTTTGTAGCCTTGGCTTGGCCTATGTTGACCAGGCTGGCCTTGAACTCCCAGAGATCCACCTGTCTCTGCCTCCTGAGTGCTGGGTTTTAAGACATGCACCAACATATCTGACTTAGTTGTTTGTTTGTTTGTTTTCCAATGCATGAATACAAATAAATAAAAGCAAATGTCAAGGTTTACGTACACAGAGATGGATTTTCACAGTTATGAATTTACTTGATGTGTAAGTACGTGCTGACATCTTGAATTTCATAGGAAGTAGTTCAATACATAATATATCTCTCAGCTCTGACATAGTTTTTTTTGTTGTTTTTTGTTTGTTTGTTTGTTTGTTTTGACAGTGTTTTGCCAAATAGCCCATGTTGTCAGACTTTCTTTGGGGAATCACCAGCCCCCCCCCCAAATAATGATATGGAAACTTATTATGAATTATGAGAGATTGGCCCAACTAGCTCTTATCATTTAAATGAACCTGTTTCTCTTAAACTATGTTCTGCCCTGGGGCTCTTTACCTCTCCTCAGAACCTATGTCCAACTTCCTCAGGGTCTCTTCATCCCAGAGTTCCTGTCTCTGCCTGGAAACCCTGCCTCTTCCTCCTGTCTAGCCAGCTATTGGCCATTCAGCTCTTTATTAAACCAGTCAGGTGCCTTAGGCAGGCAAGACAAAACAATGACACATCTTTACACAGTGTGATAAAAATATCCAGCAACAAGCCCAGGCTGGCTTACACTTGCACTAATCCTCCTGTCTCATCCCCCTGAGCACTGAGATCATGAGTGTGCATTTGACAAGCCCTCCTTTATTGATATGACCCCCAGCAGACCTCACCAGGGACAAATTTCCATACAAGCCCAGACTATTGTGGGGTTTCCAGCTGTCTCCCCACCTCCCTTGCCACCAGCCCGTCTTTGTCTGTCTCAGATATTTGAACGTGAGACCCGTCGGGAAAAGATCCTGGAGGCCAGACACCGTGAGATGCGTCTGAAAGAGAAAGGCAGGGCAGAAGGCAAAGATGACGACCAGAGGGAGGATGAGACTTCCGTGAACCATGAAGAGCTAGTTGCCAAAGCTGAGGAGGAGTTCTTCGAGGTCATCTTCTCAGAGCTGAAGAAGAAGGAGGCAGAGGCTCTGAAGAAGAAACCGAAGATCGTAAGGACCTCAGCAGGGGCATGGGTGGGCTGGGGTCTGGGAGAGAGCAGTGAGGCCTGAGTTCTGCCCAACTTCTGACCTCCTGGGTGACCTTGAGCCAGTAGCTTTCCTGGATGGATCTTGACTGTCCACTGGTAAAAGGGCTGACTCACTTCTATCTCTTGAGGAAATTTGTCTCCCAAGAGACACCAGATTCCTTGAGGGCTGGAGTTCCATTTCTCCTGCTGTCCTCCTCGCCATGGTAGGCTCATCTTCAACAGGCTTGGTGCCCCTGAATCAGGGCCCTGGGAATCTGTGAGTTAGTGTGAGGACTTTGAGGCCTGTAGGAGGAAAGGGCTGTTGTATTTGCCCTCTGTGCACTGCTCTGGGTTAGCCCAGCCAGGTGACAGGTATGTGGCCTGTGACTGCTCCCCTGCCCCTGGCCCAGCTTGCAAGCATTTTCTGCCTTTGTCAGCCGGCCTCTCACTTCCCTCTCAGCTCCTCAGCTGCCATCTGGAAGATGAAGAAAGCATTGAAAAGATGGTTCCTGGTTACTTTGTGTGGAGAGAGGGGAAGAGGGTCTTCTCCATGCTCTTAGGGGTCCAGACAGGAAGGAGACAAGGCCAGTGCCAGGAAAGCGATGCAGCCAGGCTACACCAGTGCCTGCTCTTCTAAGTTGTGTCATAGGCCTGCTGGTGCCATGGGGTCCAAGGCTGAAATGAAAGCATGGGGCCCTTATTGAGAAAGCATTTAGGGAGGGTCTGGAGAGATGGCTTAGCAGTTAAGAGCACTGACTGCCCTTCTAAAGGGCCCTGGACAACTGTCTAACTCAACTCAAGTTCCAGGGTATCCAATGCCTTCCTCGGGCCTCTGTGGGCATCAGACATACATGTGGTCCCTGACATATATGCAAGCAAAACACACACATTAAACACATAAATAAAAGTATTTAGTGGAGCTAACAAGGTGGCTTAATGGCTAAAGGCACTTACTACAAGCCTGCTGATCTGAGTTTGATTCCTGGGGACCCGTGTGGTGGAAGGAGAGAACAAGTTGTCCTGTGACTACCACCGGGATGCTGTGGAACTCAGGTCATGCGCATAATCACATATGTGCCTATACACACACACACACACACACACACACACACACACACACACACACACGCACACACACAATAAATAAATATAAGAATTATTTAGAGGGGCCTGGGATGTAGCCCAGTTGATAGACTGCTTGCCTGGCATTCATAAGGCTCTGGCTTCCATCTTCAATATCAAACCATAAACCAGGTAGGGTCATGAACACCTGTAATGCTCACATATAGAGAGCCAGGCAGGAGGGTAATGTCACATGAGGAAGGTGTCAGATCCCTGGAGACGGAATTAGAGGTGGTTATGAACCACCTGACAACCGAATACAGATTATCTGCAAGACCAGCAAGTCTTAACCCCTGAGCCATCTCTCCAGTACCTCATTCTGACTGGTGACACCTGCTGTCTCCCTCCCACTGCTTGAGGACAGTGATTTTGATGCAATTTGTATTTGGACAGCCCTTGGCTGGGAGCCATGCATGTGAGTGGGGAGGGGAGTCCCATTTCTAGCACAGGCTGGACTAGAGTCCTGTCTCTCTGACCTGAAGCCCCAGGCTCTTCCCATCTGTCACTCCTGGTCCGCCCCATCCTTCAGAAGGCAAAGATTACAGTGCCATGGGACCAGTATGTGTGTGCTTGGTGTCCTACCTCCTGGAATGCTTTCCTTGCCAAGTTTAAATATTCGAGATGAAGCTGCCCTGGAGAACGTGTTGAGGCTCACAGATTCAGCCCCTCTTCTGCCCACCCCATACCTCCTCCTCTCTTAGTCTCTGTAGTTAGCCTGAAATTTGGGGGGCGGGGGGTCAGAGAGCATCACTTGGAAGCTAGGAAGAATAATCCGTACCTGTAACCCAAGCACTGCAGGGAACCGGAGCCGGAAAACCCAGAATTTGAGGCCAGCCTCTGTTATACTGCAAGAGTTCCTCTCAAAAGAATGAAATCAAGGGGGGGGGCGGGTACCCCATGATGGATGCTGTCTCTATTCACTGTCTTCTTTCACCCTTATTTCTAAGCCCAGTCCTCAAGGTGTCATGCCCACATCCCATGTGAGGGTGTCAAGGTACCCCATATGGAGCAGGCTCAAGATGACCCACACTGCAAGTGGCAGAAGCCTGGCTCATAGTTTCCCAAAGTCTTGCCTGCCTCCTCCATCCCATGGGTCTGAGCCATTGCTGGGCCAGCTTGGAGTGGGCACTGTGGGTGCCTAGGGACTTATTCCCTGGGCTTCAGGCAGCTCCCTGCCTTGGCCTTTGGGTTTTACCTCTGTGAATTAGGGAGGGCCGGCCCCTCATCAGCGTTTCTGTTTTTGCTTCAAAAGAAAAAGATAAGTTTAGAAGTAGAAGATGAAGATGAACAGTTGGAAGAAACTGCCGGAGAGGAGGAAGAAATGGCTGAAGGAGTAGAAGGTGAAGAGAGAGAAGACGACGTGCCCAGCTAGAGCAGCATCTGCCCACGGCGCTGTCCCTTTGTGTCCCTTGCTGGCCTTCTTCTTGATGCTGCCTCTCCTGACAAATGGAAGCTGAGTTTCTTTCCTGGATAATTTTTGGTGGGGAGATCAGGGACAAGTCACCGGTCCATACTGGGGCCGAGTCCTGACTGCACCCCTTCCTAGGGTGGAAAGGGACAGGGCTTGTCTCTGTGATGACTCTCCCAGCCTCAGCCCCTGTGAGGCTCACTCCAGCTCAGGGCACACAGGGCCTTCAGTTAGACTTCAGATATATCCCTATTCTATTTATCATAGGATCTCCGGTTAGTATTTCTTTACTAGAAGCTTCCAGAGCTCAGCTGAGCTTGACTCATGTACAGGGGCTTCAGGAGCACCTACAAAGGGACACGTTTCTCTCGCCTTCTCCACCCCTTCACCTACTTTGTAACAGAAGCATAAGTTTGTCCCCTCTGCAGTGCCTTCCAAGCAACCCCAGGGGGTATCATAGCATGCAGCCCCATGAGGGTGGTCTACGAGAGAGTAGCTAGGGTGAGCCTGGCCCTCCTTGTACATGTATGCTTTCTATTGCTATTCATCTAATAAAAATTAAATTGGTGATAACAGCAGTGTTTGTCATAAATCCCACACTTGGGGCCTCTCTTCGATCTCCTACAATTAATTCTTCCAAAGATCCTGGAAGGTTTGTGTTGCTCAGTCCCTATTTTACCAAAGAGGAAACTGGGGCTCTAGGAGCTACCTGGTCACAGCGGCTGAGGAGTGGAGCAGGGACAAGAGCATCAGGCAATTGACTGTGAGCCAAGAACTATGCAGAGCAGTAGGCCCTTTGCTGGTAGGCACCAGCATGGGTCCCAAAGCCATGTCTCCATACAGTAGTAGGTGGGTAGAGGGCACTTCAGGGCCAGTTCCATACCCATACAAATCCCAGAAGGTCTGTGACTGTCAGCAGAGATTCAAAGTGCCTGCATTAAGAACATCATTGCATATATATATATATATATATATATATATATATATATATATATTGGCCATTGGCTTGGTATGGTGGCACACACCTTTGATCCCAGCACATGGGCAGATCTCTGAGTTCAAGGCCAGCCTGGTCTACAGGATAGGCAGGGCTACACAGAAAAATGCTGTCTCAAAAAGGTGGGGCATGGAGCCAGCTAGCTCAGTCAGTATAATTCTTGCTGTGCAGGCATGAGGAACTGGTCTTTATCCCCCAGAACCCTGAACGAAACCAGGCATGATGCTAAGTACTTGTGATCCCAGCACTAGGGAGGTTGAGGCAGGCAGATCACTGGGGCTCCCTGCCTGACCAACCTAGATAAATCAGTGAGCTCTAGGTTCAGTTAGAGACCCTATTTCAAAATAAGATGGATATTGACCTCAAGCTGACCTCTGACTTCCACCTACTAGCATTTGGATATTTTGTGTAGGGAAGACACAGGCCATTCCTTTTGACCAAAACAGTGAGGGGACATTGAGTTGCTACATTTGGCTTGACTTTGATGTCAGTAGTCATCGTTCATGTTTATTGAGGGTTAAATCTTCGCAGGATTCCAAGGAGGGCCTCACCGTCTTCCACTCACACATCACCAGTGTGGCAGGGGACAGAGAGGAGGAGGAGCCAGGTCTCATAAAAGCAAACGGTAGAGTTCAGCCCAGCCTTGTTCGTGATACTTAAGCATATACCATACACACTGCACTCTGAGCTCCTCCTTCCAGCTTCAAGAGTGGGGTCAAGTGGGCCCTACTGCCTGCCTGCTGCTGTGTTCAGACAGCAGGCACAGGGTACTAGAGGAAACAGAAGGCTCCTCGCTGCAAAAGGACAGAAGGAGACACAGAGACCATCCATACCACCTCAAGGGACTCTCTTGTCAAAGATGTGATTCTCTGTGGGGTGGATTTTGCCTCATTGGGACATTTGGCAACATCTGGGACATTTTGAGTTAATATACCTGGTAAGTGAGTTAGTTACTCCTGGCATTTCCCACAGAAGGGCATGGGTGCTATACTGTTCAGCATTCTAGGGTTCCCAGGATTCTAGATCCCTACCACAAAGAATGGTCTTGTCCAAAATGCCAGCAAATGCCTGGGGTAGTGCCTGCCTCAGCTCTGGATTCACTCCCCAGCCCTGCAGAAACTAGGGGGTGGGTGTCACCCCAGCAATCCCTGAACTCAGAAGCAGCAAAAGAATCAGATGTTCAGTCATGGTTAGCTACGTATCAAGTTCAGGGCCACCCTAGGCTACAAGAGACTCGTTCATAAGCAAACAGAATGCAATGGAGTCAGGGTGCAGAAACCTGATTTGGAGAGCCAAATCAAGCAAATGCAGTGCCCTGGGGGTCGGGGGACAGCTGCTTGTTGACTTGGGCTCTGATGGGCCCCTATGAGGGGCTGACTCTGTGTTCAAGGCAGAAGAGCATTCTTTTGCTATTCTGGAACACTGGCCTTTGTTTTGTGCTTGCAAAAAAATGGGCCACCTGCTAGGAGCTGACAATCCTTTCCTGTGGGTACAGAAGGTGCCACTGGATGGCATTCTAGAACAGACTGTGGGAAGACAAAAGCCTGAACATCATGCTGGGCAAGGGGCTGGAAGAGCTCTGTGCACATGGTGTCCCCGTTGCCAGCTTTATTGCAATGACTTTCTTTGACTCATGCAACTGACAGCTATTGTCCATTTCCCTCTGTGGTGATGGATCTTTGTAGAGTGAAAGGGGACAAAGAAAAACACCCTACCCTGACTTAAGAACAGGGACTGAAATTCCACCAATCCCTGAGTTCCTCGAGCACTAAATCCCACCAATCCCAAGCCACCTTGGAAATCTCTGCCACACACACCCCCTTCAAGGAACCCAATAAGCTTTGTACCCTGCTCAGTTTGCTACTGCCACCCCCCTTGATTCTTCCCTAAGAGTAAATCTCTTGAATGAGGTTTGGGTGATGACCTTTCCAGGAGTGGAGCAGAACAGGGAGAAGTAACAACTCTTGCTGGACCCGGAGCAGAGCAGAGCTGTAACACTTTGGCTAGGGAAACTTTCCCTTAAGCAGAGCTGAACATTTCACTGGACCTGAGCACAACGGTAACAACTGTGCTGGGGAACCCCTCCCCAGCAGGGGCAGAATTGTTACATTGGGCTGTAAACTGCTATGCTTACAGTGACTCTGGGATTCCTTGGCTTCCGACTGTCAGGATCCCTTTCCATCAGCTTACAGTCTTCACTGTCAACTTGACTGAATTTAGAATCACCGAAGAGCCACACCTCTGGGTGTATCTATGAGGGTGTTTTCAAAGAGCCTTAAGGGAGAGAATCCCACCTTGAACCTGGATGGCACCATCCCATGGACTAAGGTCTCAGGGGGAATGAAAAGCGAATCATGGGAAAATCACGCAGTGCCTGTGTTCATTTCTCTTTTCTGCTTCGGGTCCATCCAGATGTAAACAAAGCAGCCTCACATACATGCTGATGCACCCACGAGCCATCCGCGTTGCCATACATCCTCTGCCTCAATGGACTGTCCCCCACCACTCTCATCGTTTTCAAACAGATTCATTACTTTTAATAGCATGAGCGTTGCCTAGGTACACACATAACAGGGACATGCCTGGTGCCCGCAGAGGCCAAAAGAGGATCTGGAAATGCCAGTGCCAGGCTAGGTATAAAGTGGAGAGTCATAGTAAGCTGCATGAGCGGTGCCAGACTCCCGTGTCCACACCTTTATGTGTACCCATCCTATGCCTGTGACAGTGTCACTGCAGCCACCACAGCCCTGTGGCTACCATTTCTTCCACGAGGCCACTGGGTGCTCGTGGAAGCTGAGAAAAGGCCCTGTCACCCCTTCATCTTTAACCAAATAAAGTGGTCCCTAGGCATGATGGAATGGCCACAATGCTGAAGCAGGGGGTGACTGCTATTGACATCCCAGGGTCAGATAATCATCCCCATCCAAGCTAAGAGAAACACCTCTGGTTGTGAGCTGAGAGAGTGAGCTGGAGCCAAGGATAACAGAGAGTTTGCAGATGGGGCAGGAATGAACCCAAGTGGGGTGCTTACCGCCTGGATAACAGTGATTTTGCTCAGCACTGAGCCAGATCCCTGTCACGGAGGGTTGGAAGAAACAGATTTGGGCCCACCCACCCACCCAGGGCTAGAGCTCATACGGTGCTGGCACAAGGCTAGTACACACAGAGACAGTTGGACAGGATGATGTTTTGTTTTCCTTTGAAACAGGGTCTCATGTTGCCCAGGCTGGCCTTGAACTCATTATGTAGTGAGGATGACCTTGAACTCCCAATCCCCCTGAGTGCTGAAATTACGGGTGCATACCACCATGCTTGTTTATACAACCCTGGGAACAGAAGCCAGGGCTTTATGATTGCTAGGTACGCACTCTACCAACTGACCGGCATCCTCAGCCTCTGGGGAGACATTTTTGAGGAATACAGGCATTATGAGAGGGATAAAAGGAGGAAGTGGCCTAGATTCTCAGGAGTATAGGGAGAAGCTGTCAGGTGCCCTCCGTGACAAACTGACAGGCTGAGATCCCAAAAGGCAGTGTGAGGCAGCCAGGTGGTATTTAGTTTAAATGAGCCCAGTGTGAGCTCAAGCAGGTTCCCAGCGACCCTTGACGTCTGCAACATCGCCCAGTCTGAGGACTCTCATGAAAATGGGATGGGGTTGCCATGAGCTGCATCCGCATCCCCTAGAGGGGAAGAGTCGGGCAGTGGCAGGTGAGGTGGGCTCAGCATCACCATGAGTGTGGAGACTCACCTCTGAGTCTGAAGATGTTTCCAAAAAGGTTTAACAGAGTGGGGAGGAACCACAGGAATGTGGATGGCACAATCCTCAAGGGCTAGAGTTGGGGACCAAATAAAGAGAAAGTGAGCTAAGTACCATTTCTTCCTTCTCCTTGACCCCCTCTTCTTCCCCTGTCCTCCTCCCCCTCCTCCTCCCTGCACTGGTCCTCCCCTGTCCTCCATCCACTCCTCCCGTCCTCCTTTTCCTCCCTCTGCTCCTCCTTCTCATCTTCCTTACTGTTGATATAATTTAATTTTTGCCTCATGCCCCTGCCCCCCCCCTCTCTCTCTCTCTCTTTCTTTCCTGGTTTTTCAAGATAGGGTTTATCTGTGTTGTGCTGGCCAGCCTGGAACTCACTCTATAGATCAGGCTGGCCTCAAACTCAGAGATCTGAGTGCCTATGCCTCCTGAGTTCTGGGTGGGATTAAAGGCATGCGCCAACACTACCCAGCCCTGCTGAGTTGAACTATACTTCCAAACTATGAGCCAAAATAAACCTTTAGTTTCATTTTCTCTTCCTTTAGTTTCTCTTGTCAGGAATTTTGTCATAACAACTGAAAAATAACTAATACAACCTCAAAGTCACCAAAGAGAATGTTTGAAAGTAGGCATAACTTCAAGACCAGTCTCCATGTCAAGTGGTCTGGGACCTCTAGCTTTGAAGTGATTTGTTTTGAGATGGGATCTCTCTGTGTAAGCCAGGCTGGCCTCAAATTCACAATCCTCCTGCCTCAGCTTCCTGGGTGCTGGAATTACACGTACACACAGCCATATCTGCCTCCAAATCTGCTTATTTTTTTACTCATCAGTCATAATGGCCCATCTTGGGTGGGATTTATGTATGTGGAGGAATAACAAAGCCCAAGTTCAATAGACCAGGGACCGGCTTGAGTAATCCAAAGAGTCGATACAGGGTCCAAAATGCTAACAGAGTGGGGAGTGGTGGCACATGCCTGTAATTTTATCACCTGGGAGGCTGAGACAGAAGGATTATGAGTTTGAGGCCAGCCTGGGCTAACAGTCTCCACCTCCATTTCAGAACAAAATAAACAGGCAGGAGACCCCTGAACTCAGCCTGTTCTCTTTTCAGTTCCACCCATTTGCAACTGGCCAGTCTCTGAGGCTGCTGGGACCAGAGAGTCCCCGGCAATACTGGGGACCCCCTGCAGAAGAGTTTGGTTTCTAAGCTTAGCTTGGTTTATATATTTATCAAACCTGAGTCTGCCAACTGCTTCCTGCTGCTGTTTATTAATAACTATCCCCAACACAAGCTCCTGGGGGAAGCCCAGGAAACCAGTCCCAAGGCAAGGGTGACATCGTGCTCTGTGTCTGGGTGCATGCCAGGTGGCTTAGACAGCCCCCGAGGGATGTGAGTGCTAACTTCCCAGCTTCTTTCCTGGATTTGAACCCCACGGAGTTTCCCTTTCTGGCCTTTGCAGGGGCTCTCTTCAAGGGAGAAAGGTGATACAAAGGACATCACGGTATTCAGGAAGAGTTACAACACTATCCAGGTGACAGGCAACAAGGACAGGAAAACCAGGCTCCCAGAGGCTAAGCTGGTTGAAGGAAGAACTAGGAGTAAAATCCTGTTTTGCCCAGGCCTCCTGAGGGAAGGAATCTTTCCATTGGGCTCCCTGAGTGTGTCATTGTAGCTATTCTTACCAACAATTGCAACTGTTTATCCATTGTTCCACCTGGTCACCTGGGCAGCCTTTTGACATTGCAAAGTGCTGCTGTTATCTATAAAGTTCACAGTGGGGCACTGTGCAATGCAGTTTTTTTTGTTTTGTTTTGTTTTGTTTTAATTTCTAAAAATGCCCCAACCCAGAAAACAACAACAAAAACAAAAACACAAGCCAGGTGGTGGTGGCGGCAAATGCCTTTAATCCCAGCACTCGGAAGGCAGAGTCAGGGGGATCTCTGAATTCAAAGCCATAGAGAAACCCTGTCTCAAAAAAAAAAAAAAATTGAAGAAACTTGTCATTTAAAAAAAAGACTTATTTTTAATAGTCTTTTTTAGACATTTTAAGTGTGTGTGTGTGTGTGTGTGTGTGTGTGTGTGTGTGTGTGTAGGTGCCTGCTAAGGTGAGAGGCATCCGTTCACTGGTGCTAGAGTTACTAGCAGTTGTGAGCTGCCTGGTGTTAATGCTGGGAACTGAACTCAAGTCCTCTGCCCAAATGTGCTCTTAACTCCTAATCTCTTAACTCCAGCTCCCCGCTCCTCCATTTATACTTTAAAAAAATTACGTTTATATACTATGCACATGTACTGGGTGCCCACGTGGAGGTCTAGGACCACATTTGGGAGTCAGTTCTGGCCTTTTCACCATATCGGTCTCAGGAATTGAACTCAGGTAGTAAGGCTTGCCCGCAAGCTCCCTTACAAATGTGCCATCTAGAGGGCCCTCGGAATGTTTTAAGTAAGCCTATGACTTAGTGTTGAGCGGCATCCATAGTTAACCTAAGCCAAGTGCAACCTAAGGCTACAGGTGGACTCTCCGAGGTGGTGCTAACCCTGGCAGGCAGTCTGGGTCCATACATTTTGACCTAGATTCTGGGTTTGTGCCTCAGGCGTGGTTTGCTAGTGGGTCAACACCGAGGGGACTTTTCCATAAGATACACCCCACTAAGCCAGGTGCCATAGGGTGCAGGCAAGCTCTTCACCCACGCGCTCCCTCTCTGCTTCTGGACAATGGGTGCAGCCACCCACACCCTAGGCACTGGTCTCCACAGCCACGATGCCCGCATCGATCATGGAAACCCGAGGCTGCCGGGTGCGCCCTGGAGACGCCCAGCAACAGTCAGAAGGGCAGCAGATGATCGTGGCCGCAAGGACAAGGGTGCGTCTGCCCAGCGAGTCGCGTGCCAGGCGGATGCCGAGAGCGCAGAGGACACAGCCAGGAGCCGCTAGCCTGGGCACGGGTGCGGAGAAGCCACCAAACGGACGCCGCTGAGCGGGGAGGAGGCCCGGGCGCTGAGGCCGGGCGGGGCCACTCGATCTGACT